TAAAAATAGAACACCCCTCACTAAATAGGGGTGGTGGACTAAGACACAACTTGTCTTCCATCTACAACCCTGTTTTGAGATCTCTGCCCAAACATGCCCACCAGGACAATAGGCGTCAGTCCACGGGGAGGATTCAAAGACAGGTAATGACTCTCACCGATACTGGGCTATAATGACTCAGTCGTTAGAGCACATTGTTGGCCTTCAAAGGACTGAAACACCACCAAGGGGGATAAATATCTCCGGCTCAACACCAGTCAGTCAGAACTGATGAAGCCTCTTGGATCAGAGGTGAAACGTCTTTGATCTAGAAATCTAAGTCCAGATGATGTTTTCTAAGGTTTTTTTCAAGTTACACCAGGTTACTAACCTGCCTATTTATTTATTTATTTACTTTACATACACCTGTTAGTGGTTTACCATCTCCTTCTATGGTGCATTTTCTGGGGTCGACTGTCTTCCAGATGATCACTCCAACCAACGGGTAGCCATCCACCTTGCCTGCGGGCTCTCTGGGCAGGAAGCAGATACTGCTAACGTCTTCGGGGTCAACAGTTGCTGGGTGGGGGTCGTAGCTGCTCTCTGCCAGGCTGGTCAGTCTTCTCAGGGTGACATCTTTGGTGCTAAGGATCTCAGCGTCTGAGCCACAGCTCAGTAGTCTCTCTGCGAACTCCACACCACCTCGCGTGTCCAACAGAGCCTGCTGCAGCTGCGCCCTCTGCAGGTGGAGCTGGTTTCTGCAGAACAGTGACAGTGTGAATGACAACTAGCCTATTCCATGAACTCGGAGCAAAGTTTTTCTGCACTGTATCCCTGGTGGTATGTATATATCTACTACAGTAAACTATGCAGAATCTTCCTCTGTGGACATACACTTTGCTTAATGTTCTTTGAAATACAAAGCTCAGGGCCTGTGGTGTGGTTATTGTCTCATCATGCACCTTACATGCCACTTAGTGTGTGACAGCAAAACAAAAACTGCTGATGTTAAAGACAGCACAGTAAACAGAGGTTTACTGGCTTCATATGCATGTATACTGGTAGAAGTACTTGTAGTTGCTTGGTAAACATGTTGAGATCCTCCACACATGCCAGAGAGAAATAGCTTCTTTTCTAGATGGAGAGAATCAGATTTGTCAGAGTTTTGGGCCAAAATCAACTTTGAGTCCAAGTACAGTAAAACACTGGAGATGGGAAAATGTGTGCTTACATTTTTGTGCTTGTATATGGATTAATCAAAGGAAAATGATATCTTTCCCCCTTTTCTTCCTCAGCAGGGTGGTCAAAGGTCAGGGCCAGCAGCACAAGTATCACACTTGTCATCCAGTCAGTCTCATATGACAACCTTTCTCCTTATCGCATGTATCAGAAGAATACTTCAAGAATAACTTCCTGCACTTGATCCTTGTTGAACTTTCTCCTTGATAAACACAAGTCTGGCCTGTGCTGACTTCTAAAGATCCTACACTGCATTTCTGCACGGAACAGACACGTTTTCTTGCCCTGGTGCACAGGAACGGTGTAGGTCACATCACACCTGTGTTGGACACGGAGCTCCTCCAGGCGACATAGCAGAGACAGGCAGTGGGCTTCAACAGTGCTGGCGTAGCCTCGTGCAAATGCCCTCACCTCCTTCGCTGTTGCATCTACCCGTGCCTGCAAAGCCTCCTGGGATATTTCCACCTGTAAAACAGCGTAAGGAAGAATTATGTACTAAGGTGTTACATTAATTACATCATGGCATCAGGCTGAACAACTACAGACACATAAGAAAGAAATCTGTCTTCAAGGGCTGAAGTTGGAACCATTTTCTGTTGCACCTTCTGCAGTGACTCCTCCAGCTGCTCCAGCTGAGGTCGCAGGCACACAGTGACCAGCTCTCGGATACGGTCTCCGTGATAACGGATAACATCGTGCATGGGACGGCAGCAGTGGTCACGGTGCAGTGTGGCAGCACACTCCGGGCAGACCGGCAGGTCACAGGGCTGACAGAAGAGCCGGAGCTCCTGACCTGGGTGGAGGAAGCAGAAGATGGACCGGCACAGACGACCACGAGACCTCAGCTCCTCCAGACCCTGAACAGAGTGGGATGCTGTTCGCTTCTGGCGCCTGCAGGCAGCAGACAAAACACACACAGATACATACAGGTCTGCATGTCAGTATAAAATCCATGTTCAACCTCAGGTCTGGTTGGTTTGCAGCTGGAGAGCAGAGGTTACCTGCTAAAGGCTGTATGAGAAGATGATCAACAGCTTTAACAAAAAGTCTTAACTGTATTTCTACCGTTGAAAACTAAATCAACGTGTCACAATGAGTTGACCAGAGGTGAAGCCCCGTACCTGTGCGCCTGGCAGCAGAACTCACACAGGTTGACGCCGCACACCTCGCAGCGGCTCTCGGCGCTTCCTTCGCCGCACAGGTCGCATCCCATTGGGCCGTCCATCACCAGGGTCTCCACGAAAACCTCGTCCAGCGCCAGGTGGTCGGTGCTCAGTCCGGCCGGTCCTGACGGAGGTAGGTCCACCTCGGAGTCACAGTCGGGGCAGAGCACAGTGACGGTTTCGGCCTGTCGGTCCGCCTCCACAGCCTCACTCCCACCGTTCTCCGGACCGTCCCGCTGGGTACGCGAGGGCACCGAGAGCGGCTCCAGCTGACCGATACAGTCGGAACAGAAGGTGTGCAGACACGGGAGTAGTCTGGGATCCCGGTATAACCGTTTACACACATTGCAAACGGCTCTGGGGTTGACCAAGGCGCCATTCTGTTCGTGAACCGCATTTTCTTTCTGTTCAGACTCCGACATTGTGAGTTCTGGTGCAAAAAAAACAAATCCCTGAATCTGGTCCCCTAAAAGCCACCGAACAGTACAAACCTGTCAGCTGAAAATGAACTTCTCTAACATCTTTCCTCTGCACAGTTCATCTCACAGGAACCATCGGTTTGCTACACTTAATATTTTAACTCAACTTTTCCTGGAAGTACTACTCTTCTTCGGGCTGCGTTCACTGCACCATGGGACATTTGACACCTCACTCACTTCCAAACCAATAGGAAACCTCTCAAGGCCTGGCAGGGGTGGACTCTGCCAGTCTGGGACTCAGAGTGTCCCCATCTACTGGCAGGACACAACTACATGTTATCAATGTGAATACACAGTTTTTAATTGTTGTTATATCTAACGCCGCGTGAAAGGTTTGCATGTTTTCTTTCTAAAATATGATCTTGAGTACAAATGTTAATGCAATTCTGTATTACTAATAACCAATATGAATTTGTTCCATTACTTAAATGACAAATGACAGTAAAGTGGTATCAGAAAAACACAGCTGAATGCAGTAATATGTGTTACAGACCCAGGTGGCCCTAGGGGAAAGAGAGTAACATTTGAAATAACCAGATGTTATGGTTCTGTGCCAGGTCTTTATTTACACACAATTATTTTGTGGTTTACAGAGAAAAGGGAGGCCGCGCAGCCGTTTAAAAAAATAAAATCCCCAGCTGGCAATGGCTCACACCCATGCCTAACGATGATATGGTGATTTCCCATTAAGTAACAACATCCCAACTAGAGCTGGCCACACAAGAGCAGAACAGTAGGGAACAGCCGTCCTCCTCCCACAACAGCTGCCCGATAAATGAGTGATTGCTGCCCCTTTTCACTTTAGCACCAGGCACAAAGGGCAGTCCTGTCAAGACAGAGGTTTCCCTCCAAGCCCAACCATGTATGCTGAGGGGCGGGCCCCGGCAGTACCACACCCAACACCCACAGAGCACAGCATCCACCTGTAATGAGAGCAGACAGAACACACACACACACACACACGCAAGCAGCAGCACACAGCACTAACCCCAGTACAGTTATACCAGACAATGGCACAAACCAACATTCTCCGACCTGGTCCCCAGCCTGAGGCCTCGGGGCCGTAACAGTGGGCTATAATATTCTAAGATTAATATGTGTGATTTTGTCTTTATATGATGACATGTTATGATGCTTATTTTGCTGTGATTTCACCACAAAACAGAAGGCAAATTATCTTGTTTTAAGTTAGTCAAATAAAATAACTGAAACAGGAATTTTGAAGTTTACTGACAAATAAATGGGATGGAAACGGGGCACATACAACAGAGGACGTAAAAAGAAAACTCAGCTGAGAAATACAGAAATGTTGTTACATCATAACAGCACCCAGTGTAATAAATTAATGACTAATGAATAATATAATCTTTAGAAGTTAACTCTACTGCTTTTATGCCTGCTAATTTTTAAAATCCTGAATAAAACACATGTACACCCAGGTGGCGATGTGCTGGGGGACATTTAGCTACATCTATGCTGTATATTTAATGTAAGTACATGTGTAGTGTGTCTCTGTGTGTGTGCACTGTATAGTTAGGTCAGGAAATAAATGCAGACAACACTGATCATAATGCTCAGGTTAGCTGGTGGCAGAAGGGACGGAGCAGCACTGAAGATGAAGTATGTCTTCTCTGAAACGCCAGAGTCTGAAAAATAGAAAACATCATTATTTTGTTTTTGTCAAATGTTGTACCATCTGTTTTGATTTGTTGTGTGTGTGTTGCTTCATGATTCTCTAGCACACCTTGCTTTGTATTTTGCCAGTCACCAGCATGTCATTTCAAACTCACAGACTGTAAACACAGCACATGAAGAAAGTATAAAAGTAGACCTGTTACAGTTGCATCTGAGACAGCAGCCACCACGTTGTTGTAGATCCTGCAGGTGTAGGTGTTGCTGACCTGGACTGGCTGCAGCCTGCTGGTCACATTAAACATCTCTGTAGAGCTCGGCGTGAGCTCGGTTATTCCCTGCAGGACGGCTCCAGAGCTGTTTGACCACGTCACGTTTGGCTTGGGGAACCACCTGCTTGCCACAGCTTTCAGGGTGTTATTTGACAGTGTAAACGTGGGGGCTGAAAAGGCTGAGACAATAAATGTGGTCAGTAAAACGTTGTGAAGGCCAACTAGTGTCAGTTAACTTAAATGAAAAAAGCTGTAAAGACCCAAAAGATGAAAACAAATCGAGTGCAATGTGTAGCAATGCAGAAAGGCACCAGGTCTTGAACCCAGAACCTTCTCACTATGTGGCAACAGCACCAACCACTGCACCACTCACACTGTAATCATAAGACTTGACCACACAAGTTAACATTAACTTTACCCCTACCAGCTGTAACATTAATTGTTATGTACACAATAATACACCAATATTTAATTAGTCCAATAATATGATATACATTAATGTGTACGGTGCCATTCTGCATCACAAGTACTGTTACTTCTAATACTTTAAATACAATTTATGCTAATACTTTTGTGCTTTAACTTACTGTAAGTATCAATTTGAACGCAGGACTTTTACTTGTAACAGAGTATTTTTACAAAGTGGTATTGCTACTTTTATTTAAGTAAGCAATCAGAGTACTTCATCACTGGTAAAAAGTGTAACCACTGGTTTCACACAGGATAAGCTTAAAAAAAGACACAATGAAAAAGGAAAGCCTCATCCTACCTGCTGTTCGGAGGTGAATGTTGACCTTCCCTCCGCCATCAGAGGAGCTGATGGTGCAGGTGTAGTCCCCGTTGTCACTGCTTCCCACATTCCTCAGTAGCAGAGAGGCGTTTCCTGTGACTAAACCATTGGGGAACAGCTGAGTTCTTCCTTGGAACTGTGAGTTCTGGTTCCCAAGGTCTGGCGCTCCATTTGTGTACTGGTAAACAAGTCCTGTCATGCCATTCTTCTCCCAGGTGACGGTCAGTTGTTTGACAGTGGTCTGTGCACTTCCTGTGTTAAGATAGCAGCTGAGAAGCTGATTGTCACCTAGGTTGGCGACTGGCATTGTGTTGCTGCTCATCACCTCGGATGAGGTGGCTGTGGGATGTGGACACAGGCACAAACTCAACATCAAAAATATATTCATATGATTAGTTTAAACATGGGAAATTCATTATTTTTGTTCTACGTGTTTGTGAAGCGTGTAAAAACCATCAACGGGAAGTTAATTACCATCAAGGATTTCATCAAATGTAAACATGTTATTTACGTACATGACACAGTGTCCACGTGTATACTGTAGGTATACTGTAGGCTATTTATGGGAGACATCTCGTTCACTTAAAGAGTGTATTACAGAAAACAGGAGTACCACCAAGAAAAATGATGTTAACCCTGCTGCAAGACATTTTAATGAGATAAAACACCCCATGTCATCAGAGGCAGTTATGCCTGGAGTGAGAGGTGGGAGTACTAAGATTTTTAGGGAAAAAAAAGGAGACGCATTCTGAATTTTTGACTTTAAAAATATACTGCCAGGAACGATGATTTGATTTGATTTGATTTGATTTTATTTATTCTTTCAAACATGTAACAACAGTCAGTATGTAATCACACGTAATTCCAGACATGTCCACAAAAATATTTTCAATTTGCTTATACCTAGTACATGCTTGAATAGAGTAGGAAGAAGTTAGACTTATCTAGTCCTACCCCATGACATCATCTTATCATCATTGGTTTGCAAGCAGTATTACTACATGGATACATATTCTACATCCACACTCCCATATGATTAATCATTGTTCTTGCCCATATCTTGATTGACACATACCTTTATATCTGTGTTTAACCTCATCAATTTTCTTACTGTTTTTTATGTCCCCCCTTCCCTTTCATTAAATAGTTTTTGAATTCCACCAGGTAATAAATTAACAATTTAGACTGTGTGAAAGCTCCATTGGTGTGATCCCTATACCCCATCTTATGCACAATTCTTATCGCTCTTTTTTGTAATATATACAATGGTTGAAGTGAGCTTTTGTATGTGTTTCCCCAGTTTTCAACGCCATACTCTAAGTATGGTAAAATCAATGAAGAATACAAAATGCGTAGTGCTTTCCCGTCCAAAATATATCTAACCCTTGCCAATATCGATATATTTTTTGCTATTTTATTCTGAACATATCTGATATGAGATTTCCAGGAGAATTTGTCATCAACTATGACACCTAGAAATTTAATTTCATATACTCGTTCTATATTAGCTCCCCCAATTTTCAATTGAAGTTCATTATCTAATCTGCGATTCCCAAATACCATAAATTTAGTTTTATCCAAATTCAGAGATAGTATATTACTATCACACCATTTCTTTATCTTCTCAAGTTCCTGTGAAACCCGTCCAGAGAGTTGCTGTAGGTTTTCACCTGATGCCCATATGGTAGTGTCATCAGCAAATAAAACCACTTTCACTAAATCAGAAACCTTACATATATCATTAATGTATAATATAAATAATTTAGGTCCCAAAACAGAACCCTGAGGCACTCCACATACAATATCCAGCTCACTCGACTGATGTTCACCTAACTTCACAAATTGGCGCTTTTGCGTCAAATAACTATTAATCCAATTCAAAGCCACTCATTTTTCAGTTAACAAGTTTCTTTAGTGGGGTCTAGTTTTTTGTGCTCGTGTTGTACACTCTTTTGTTTCTCTTCACTCTATTTTATTTTGTGTTATCTGATAGATTTCAGTGGCATCTAATGGAAAATGATTGGTTTACAGCACAAATCAAATCTTTTTAAAGGTTCAGTTCATATTTTTTAAAGCTTTAGTGAAAACCTAATTTATAACACTTACTGTATGTAGGAAAACATTGTATTTGAATGCAGAACTGGAGCCAAATGCAAATTTAATACTTCGAGGACGGTGCAGCCAGGTTGGGTTAGGAGAGGTTTCTACTTGATATTGTGATTTAAAATACCTCCATGCTGCTTGTTCATTGCCAGTTTTTCTTCTTAATCTGTGCAGACATAATTGCAGCCTTAGCTCTAACATGACCCCAGGTGACCTTTTGCAGATGGTAACCTAATCCTAGTGCTAATTGAAGGGCTGTTATACTACACTGTAAAAATACTCCAAAATACTGCATTTAAAATCTGCTTAAGTAAAAGTATATGAGTATTAACAGGAAATTTTACTTAAAGTATCAAAAGTAAACATTTTTATTATGCAGAAAAAAGAGTTCCCTGTCATTGCTTTATTATATGCAGTGTTTCTGGATGAATACCGATAAACTATGTTGGAGTTGTTTAAAGTTGTGCTAATTTTAGCTACTTTATATACTGTTGAGTATCTTAATCTACAGCACTGCATCATGGTCTGTAAAGTTATACGTTTATAATGTTGCTGTCCTGTGTCTAAACTGAAAAGTAACTATAGCTGTCAGTAGTGAAGTAAAAAGCACATTTGCCTCTGAAATGTGGTGGGATAAAAGGATATAGTAGCATAAAATAGAAATACTCAAGCAAAATACAAAAACCTTAAATGTTTAAAAATTTCAGCTAATGTAACATTCCACCACCGAATAAATCCTATTGTCACCTTAACCGAAACTCAATCAATATATAAAAATACCTAAAGGTCCTTTTAAATGCTTTGTGGCTTGTGAACCACAAAATTAAACTGCTATAATTTAGACAAACACAGCTTCTGCTGAACACACCCATATATCACCTCAGGCCTGACAGAGCTGTCACTAATGATAACAGGATCTCACAAGTTTTCATGGGTCTTACTTGAGAAAGTCAAGGCTAAGATGAGGATGAGGAGGGCTGTGATTATGAAGATGAGGGTGACCATGCTGCAGACAAAGAGACACACAAACACAGGAAAATATAAGAAAACAGACATACTGCCAGCTTTGGCTTGATTCATCCTGTAGAAACCTGCAGACATCCAGTGGTGGAAAACATAATCAGATCCTTAAGTAAAATCACCAACATAACAATTCTAAAAACACTCAAAATACTCCTTTAGAAGAAGTTTTGCATGGAAAAATTCTAACTTTAATCTGTTAAAGTACTGAAGTATTATGTACTAGAAATATCTAAAGTAAGATTTCAATGACTTCTCTGGTCAAAATATGATCATATATTACAGAATTATGAGAAATGTACCGACGCGGTGATGTGCCAGCAGCTGGTCGAGCTACTTTTGACACGCTGCTATTTTAGCCCCTCGCAAAAAGTCACATGATACATTTTTGGGGTCATGATGTGAATAATGTGTGAGGAAAATACAAATATCTTCAGCTTAACAAACTTGTTCTTTTACTTCTTTACTTTAATCTCCTTTTAAAAAAAATGAAATATTTTGCCTCAGTGAGTCTCAAGTTTACTTGTATTTAAATTAAAATGTCTTGTGTTGGAACATCTAACGACTCAGCAACAATGAGCTGCTGCGATCACAGGCCAAAAACACTGGGAACCACTGGTTTAATTTTTATCTGAAAAGTAAACCAGTAAAAGAAGCTGTCAAATCAAGTTGAGTACATTAAAGTTAATACAATATTTCCGTTTGAAAAACAGTTTACTGTAGTAAAAGTATAAAATAACATGAAACAGTATTGCTTATGAAACTCAAAATTGCACTTAAGTAGCCGACTAAATGTAATTTTCCTCCACTGCAGATGCCTAAAAGGTTTAAAAATATAATCTCCACCAACAGAGAATCTATTCAAACATTACGGCCACACCTGTAGAAGATGATCTGCCCGAGACCAGCCATGGCGACTGACAAAAACCTCTTGAGGAGAAAAGATGGTTTGATCCTGTTGCTTCAGTGAGAAGTACAGTCATGCTACTCCTCACAGAAATTCACTGCTCCTTCAAAAATCCCTTCCACACAGCCAACAGACCTCTTCTACCCCCACTGAATGACTGCTGCTTTGCTGATTGGTGTTCATCAAAGCACTTTACATACACCACCATAAGTAAATATTATCTTTAAGGTGTGTACTTCCTACTCAATCAAGTGCCAGCACAGTAGCTCTTTTAGCTTATCAAAATAAAGGATATAATAGCAATTTACATTAGAAAGTGGCTTTAATTCAGCAGTTCATTTTCTAGAATGGCATTACAAATATACTGTAACTATAAAATGGATTGTACATGCTGCGTGCTCGCTCTCATGCATTCAGATCAGGCGATGAAACAGAGTACAAAGCTGCAAAGTACAGACTGAGGAAAGCCATCACAGCGGCCAAGAGGCAGTACAGAGAGAAGCTGAATGGCTTTTGTTCTACTGCTGACTCTGGACGGATGTGGCAAGGCCTGCAGCACATCACAGACTACAGGACCACCACCACCAGCATCATCAGCTCCACAGACAGCCTGCTGGATGACCTCAACACCTTCTACACTTGCTTTGAGGCCTCCAGCCACAGCACAGAGAGGAGGCACACACACACCGAGACCACCCAACCCCCCACCTCCCCTCCACTGTTTTACTTTTGAGGTTAAAATGAAAATGTCACTATTTATGTGCATCAAGTACAGAGAGCTGAGAGGCAGTTAGCCTACTTAGCACAAGTAATGGAAGGGAAATAGCTAGCTTGTTGTTGCAACACAGAGCTCCTTATAAAAACAGCAATTGTTTTAGATTTCTGTTTGCATAAGGTTTAAAGAAATGTGATACGTGTTAATTACTGAAGCTCTTTTCAGTCAACATGCCTCACGATGGTCATGAGCTTCTTCAAAAGATTTTTGAAGCACTGAGAAATATTGTCAGTACATTCATGGTGCTTGTCATCTTCTACATTCTGCATAGATTTTGTATGCTCATGCAAAAAAGGATTACGCCGTAATGGTATACTGTTCCTGCTTCTTCCTCCTGTAATCCTCACCTTTACTGTCCTCCTCATTGACTCTGTCCATGAGAAGAGCACTTTTTCCAGCTGGCGTTGTCTTCGGTGCAATTGCAATAACTGCAGTAACAATTGCTGTGGGTTTGTGATCAAGTTCTTAATCAAGTACATCGCCATGACTGCCGTATGGATAGCCACTGTTCTGTTTGAAGGAGACTGGTACTTTTGTGTGATGACAAATCTCAACAATCACACTGGACTTCCTTGCAAAACCAAGCTGACCTACAACGAGCAGCGCATTGTAAACCAATATAAAACTGAGTCACTTGTAAGTATCAACACACAGAAATCAGACACTGTATGTTCAATTAAATCAAAACAGTTTGGGGAATGAAATGGTTTTATATCTTTAAACAAATGTATTCTTTCAATCTTGCTATAATGTATTAAGCTACCAAAGTTAAATAGGTAAAATCAGTTTACAAAATGGAATTGCAGGGTAAAATTCTCAGCTAAATGTTTACATGATGCATTTCATTACATCCAACCATTCATATATTTGCTGGCAAGTCAAGCTGACATGCTTGGATGAGAAAGACTAGCATGGAAAATAAGTTGTGGTTATTAAAACAGTTGAACATTTTGGAAAATGTATTTGTTGAGAGTTGCATGAAAACACAACTGCCGTGTTTGTGTTAGCTTAGGATAAAGACTGGAAACAGAAAAAAGATATTATCCAAAATATCATAACCATTATTAGAACAATTCTTTTAAAGTGCCGTTAATGTTAACGAAAACTAAAAGACTGTCACAATACGTCCTACTTTATGTTACTTACAAACAAAAGAAAGAAAGGTTGTTAAATGTGGTTGATGTAGGTGTTCACGGTGTCTGGTTAGTAGAACTAATACTGAGCCCTGATCCACTTGACCCTTCTCACACAAAACTACTTTATGCATGGATGGCGCTGGATCTCTAGTGATGACACTGTAATGTAGAAATGTTGAAACCAATCCCAGCTGACATTGGGCAGGAGGCCAAATGCTAAAATATCAAAAGATAAACCTTTGTTTATTTAGAGAGATCAAGAAGGTCAGGGAAAATCATGAACTACATAATTATCAGTAAGCTGCTGAGCCAAACTCTGAGGCAGCAGAGATGATTTGAGGTAAAATGTGAAGATCTTGAGTTGAGCTTGCAGGAAAAATGTGTTATTTTAACAGATAATTTTATTGTGTATTGTACAGAAATGTAATGAAATATAGAACTATATCCCCTGAAATTAGATACAAGACATAACTAACAGTAATAACTAATGAATATTATACTTCAAAGTTGAGGGAAATGCGAATAACAATAAGTCTACATGGATAATTCCTTATTATTTTGTTATTGATGGTTGTACTGAAAAACATTCTCTTATGAGATGGGAAATGAGTACATTCATTTTTTGTAAATGTTGAGCCTGACCAGTCTGTTTAAGCACATGACGTGCTGTAAACGTGGGGCCAGAGGGAATAACATACTGCAGTCAGTACATCTTGGACATGAGTGAACATGAGATTCTGACTATTGTAAAAAAATAAAACAGCCCAGTATAATGGGGTTGATGAAACTGTAGTAAAAACAACAGTTTACTGCGTTATTAAACCGCTTGTCTATATTTTTATTTATCATTTCAAAGTGGTGCTGTATTTCATCAGATATTTTTCTTCATACAAATGACCTGTTACTTTCTAAAGAACAGGCATATGGGACCAGAGATATAGAGCACAAATAATTCATCTAAAAAGTAGACGACAGTATGCATAGATATCTGGGTAGTAAAGCTGAACGAATGAGGAGTCAGTATTGGACCCCTAAGTTTTTCATTTAATGTTTTAATGGTATTTGTGAAAAATCACAATATATAGCAGTTTGTTTAGTTTGAAGATGATTCAGTTGTTGTACTGGAGATGATTTCATAAGTACTTTTGGATAATACTGTAAGTTAAATGGTTAATCTCAAAATGCGGTGAGATGCAGATGATGAAATTGAGGATAATAAAGCAAACATTTGAATAAAAAACCTTGTTAGTTATGTTTAAAGTCAAAATCAGCTTGTTTTCCAATAAAATTTATCTTTTGGTTTTCATTAATGTTTAAATACAACAAATACACACAAACAATGTAAATGTTACTATCATTTTCTCTTTTGAAATAAATTTTTTTTACGAGTATTAAATGTTCTGTTCAATGTGTGTCAGTCAGGAGCCAGTGTGGAAAAAACAGCTGTTTATACAGTATTTTTTTTGTATGCCAGTCTGCTCAGCGGCGTCTCTGTAGCCGTGCTAATACACATACAGTACAAGTTAATGAGCTATTTCAGGTACAGTGGTTACATCAGTAAGTTATTGCACTGTGGTATTGGCTGTATCTTGTACAGGAACAGACTCCAGCGGCCAGTCAGGACTGCAAAGAGAGTCACTGATGCGGCAGACCCCTCACACCCTGGACACAAACTGTTTGAGCCACCCCCCCCAGCTCGAGTCAGTAGTGATACTGTGTACCTGTAACTCCCCTTTATGTTGAACTTCTAGCCCAGTTTCCTCTTCCACAGTTCTCACCACTGTACCTCCAGTCAGCCCTGTGGTTGAAAGCTGCTGTAGCTTCTATGGGAAAACCAGTGATGTGCATGAAAATGACCCAAACCAGTTTAACATTGACAGTGGTAATAACACTTCATCTTTTACCATGTTTGCTGTTCTACTGCTGATTTAAACAAAAGCATCTATAAATACATCATTTAAATAAACCATACAAACAGATCAAGTATAAACAGGGCACTAGGAGAATTGAATGAGTGTGGCCATGAAAGTCGGTTTTCTGGTTTCTTCTGTTAAAGATCTTTCTCATGTTGTACCGGTCTCCTCCTTCTGTGACTCTTCTTCTGTGGTGTGGTGGTCAGATCACTTCCTGGAGAGAAGCTGGTTCTCCAGCTGCTCCAGACGAGCAGTCATCCCAGCCAGTACACAGCTGCTTAAGGCGTAATAAAGACTTATACAGTTCACAGGTGAATTGATAATGAAATCATTATTAGTTGCAGCCCTAGCAGCTTGTTCCTCGTCCTTGCTGAAAGCTGAATAGGTGCACCTTTTGTTTGGATGAAGATGTTGTTAGAAAAGGATATGTTTCTGTGTGTACTGATCCAGGTTGCTCATCGTGGCCTGCTGGAACTCCACCAGACTCTCACAGGCACATGGCTCCTTCACCTCAATCTCCCCTGACTCTCCTCTGCACAGTGACAGAGAAGAAGATCACATTTACACAAAGACTCCTTCATTTCAACTACTGTATGTGCAAACCTGAGTGTGTCAAGTTACTGCATCCTGCCGGCAAATAATATGTTAAAGCCTGATTTAAAGAACCACAGCACCACCTGGAGGGATTACTGGGGAAAATATATTTCAGCACAAGCTGCTCTACTGTGGGCCGACATGATTAAAACACTATTTTCAATGTTACTTGAACAGTAAGTCCATTTCTCACCTGCTACAGATAGTTTGTGTGATACTGGCACATCATCTAGTTTGAAACAGGAATGTTAGGTTAGCTTCATCTTCACTCATGACAACAGGTACAAAGGAAACGAGTACATCTAGATAAAGTTATATGGGTCTCTGTCTGTCAAAACTTCTAAAGAGACATGAACACAGACATTTTACTTCTTAGGAAGCTCCTTGTAGTGGGGTTTTCATTTACTGCTCAGAGAGTAAATGTGCATACTGGTGTTCATACTTTTGTTTTCCCAGTAGATATATTGATACTAAATTCAAACGTGGTTTACCACCACATTTAAAGCTGGCAGAACGAGATTTGTTTTTATCATCTTGAGATGTGCCTCTGTAGTTTTGCTGCTCCAGCTAGGTGACTATTACTTTTC